GCTTCCCATGCTCCACTTCCTCACTTTCACTTAGTTCCTGCAAATCAGAACAAATGTGAAAACCACATCATGTATCAAGAACCCATTAATGATAAAGTTATGTGTCATTGACTTGGATAGTGTAAATACCTGACGAGGACGCCTTAATCTTTCCATCCTTTAAGTCCTTCAAGTATTTAGGGCAACTTCTTCTCTAATGACCCTGATCGCCACAGTGGAAGCAAGTGGACTCTTTTGGATCACTGATCGCAGGAACATCAAAGTTGGGCTTCATATTGGACCCACTACTAGACCCTCCAACATGGGCCTTCCCTTTCTTGTTTGATTGGGAAGGAGCCTTCCTCTTTTTCCCTTTTCCAAATCTGATGGATAGGACATGAGAATTTGTTGCAGTAGGAGCATGATTTTTCTTCATCCCAGACTCAACACTTTGCAACAAATTATGAAGTTGGGTCAATGTCGTCTTCAAATGATAAGTCAAGACAAATTGATCATAACTAGGAGGCAAGGAGTTAAGGACCATGTCAATGGCCAACTCCTTATCAAATGACACATTGAGCCTCTAGATTTTGTCCACGTGCCTTTGTATATTCTATACATGAGCACAAACTGATTCTCCTTCCTTAAGCTTGCATGTCATAAGAGATTTGAGCACTTCATAGCGCTCTTGTCTTGCCTTCTTGTGGAACTTTCCAGCAAGGTCAAGACTAATCTGATATGGCCAGCACTCCTCATAGAACTTGGCCAGATCTGGTGCCATAGTGGCCACCATGATGCAAACAACCTTCGTGGCATCATCAGAATGTTTGTTATCAAGAGGCAATTTCCTCAGGGGTAACGGTGGAATGATCGATTACGACAAGAGGCTTATCGAGGACATATTCTTTGCCCTCATATCGAAGAGTCATCTTCAAGTTTCTCATCCAGTCAATGTAGTTGGGACCAGTGAGCTTCTCTTTTGACAAAATCAAGAGTAGGGAGAAGTTTGGGTTTGAGTAGTTGTGAGTGCACCGTTTCCAAACATCTATTTAAAGAGACATAGTTTTTAGTTAGTGATATAAATCCTTAATATTTTAACCCAAAATTAATATTCAAGGCTAGGACCCAAAGTACAATTCACAACAAAGAAGATGGATGTCGTAATCTAATTACGAATTTATTAAGGTAGGTAATGCAAATTTACCAATTTCAATCTAACATGAAATTCCTAGATCCTTTTAGATTCAATGAATCTTATCAATGACATGTTTAATCTCAGATTATGCTATTTAATTTGTGACTGAGATGCCGATGATCGCAAATAAGATGTGAATAACCATGCATACCCGCTTGACAACATCGATGCCATTTATCATTTCAAATTAATGTGTTGGTTAACCACACACGCTCCAATAACAATGATAATTTTCAATTTGTCTATCATTCAACTTTATAGTCCCAAATTAGTGTATCGGTTAATCATGCATGCTCCACTAACGACATATAAAGAGTGATGTGTGTTTTCATGGATTAGCATACATTTCACATTTTGTCCTAAAGTAACTAGAGTTGAGATTTATAAAAAAGGTTTAGTTACTTTATAGTATCATACTTTTAGAGGTTATGTCCTATCAAACCCGTTCGGCTAACGACCCTCCACCATACAATGGAGAGGTGAGTGAGAGTGGACACCCATTCAACGACCATTTTATCAAGCCCCCCTTAGAGTATGGCTTCGTGAATGAGACATACTATTTGATTTGACCGACTTGTCTTATACATATAATAAATTAAATTTTAATCATATATAGTATAAGGTGTATTTTAAAACTTTTCAAAATACAAGGTTCAAACATTAATTATCTAAATTATTATATAATTAATTAATTAATTCAAACCTAGAATGAATTTATAATTATCTTTTAATTATTCTTATAATCAAATTAATTATTAAATTCGTAAGAGATAATTCAATTTAATTTATCTAATTAAAAAATAATCAAATAAGGATATCTCCTAATATTTAGGGTTTTATGGATTATCACACAAGGCATTCAAAATTCGGAATCTAACAGAATTAATACATGATAATTACCAAAAACAACACCATAAATTTGATTAGGAAGATAATTACCGAAAATCTGGAAAATCAGATCTCACATTGTGACAGACAGATCGTCGCATCGTGAGATCGGTAGCTTGCGGAAAACATGTTTAGTTCGATTCAACTTATGTGCAATTAATGTTTGACAAACCTAAGCTCTGATACCACTGATGAATTTTATAGAAAACAAATTTATACATTGCGAAAAACAATTAACAATTAATAGGGTACATACATCCTATAAAAGATCTATGTCATACACCATGATAACAATATACAATGAACAACTAAACTACCTTAACCCTAGTATAATTCGAAAATTGCAAGGTTAAGATTACATACCTTTTGACATGTTATTGTAAATAAATCAAACCAATCATTTTTGTGGTGAAGCTTGGAAATACTAGCACCAAAGAGATGATGCATCTAATGGTTTGTACCTAAACCCTAGCAACAAGAATACAAAAGGAGAGAGAGGAGAGAAATTTCGGGTATAGCTAGCTAAGGAAGCATAGACGAAAATAAGAAACCATAAGGTCTTATTTATATCTGATAAGGAATCCTTGGATAACCCTAATTTGAATATAATAATAATATCTCAAATTAGGCAGATATATACTCCCTTTACTTATCCTACAAGGCTTCCTAGAAGCCCTAGAAGTCTTCCATAAAACCGTCCAATTGTGGGAGGTTCTAGAAGCTCTCCATTGTTCAACTTTTGAACAATGTCACATTTAGTCCCCACACTTCCAATTAAATCTAATTAACCTGAAATTAATTCTGATTAATTCTAATTAAAGTTCTGATTAATTCTAAATTAATAATTACCATTTCTAATTAATATATCAATCACATAATATATTAATAAATTATGCTCTCTCTCTCTCTCTCTCTCCAAATGCATTTTTTCTCAGTTACTAGTTCTGAGGGCAACCCAAAAAGGACTTTGGTTTCATTTCAAAAATATACCAATTTAGTTATTGGCTTAGACACCTTAAATCAACAAAAATTGGGGTTCAAATCACCAAATTATACCACTGAAGATGGAATTTGACCATGCAAGGATGAAATGGCAATCTCATACCTAACCTCCAAATATCATTGGAATCATGAATCCACTTCTTAGATATAAGTTCATAAAAGATAGGGTTAAGAAATCCACAAATTCTCACTCAAAGCTTTAATCAAGCAACTATAGATAATTTTTTTTTGACAAAGTGTCATTTTACAGAAGGAATAGTAACTAGAAACTCAAATGATTTACTACTTGACACTAAGAAATTGGGTCTAAGCTTAAGTTCAAACCCTAAATCGAAAATATGATAAGATGGGGAAGAGATTATACCGCTTAATCTTCACTATGGATCCTTAGCTTCAAATCCTCACTCGTTCTTTAGCCACCACCCCTAGATCTTGTTTAAAGGTTTAAATTTTCCATTTCACTCTTATTCTCATGCTTTAAAGTCATTCTGAAGAATAAGGGGGAAATAGGAAAATTCAAACTTATATATATATTCCCTTTAACAACTTTAACCATTCTAGTCTTTATTAATTTATTTGGCCCCAAAATAACATAGTCTTTAATGGAATTTATAAGTTTTAGACTTTTGCCCCAACTTACTAGCATTTTAGTAAGTAAGTTTATAACATTTTCAATTCTAATCCTTAAGTTTGACTATATTGACAAATTTAGTCCATCATCATTTGTTTTATCTTTTGAAAACTAAAACAATTTTCTTCATTTAAATACTTCATACATTATAATAACAACTTATATAATTATTATTTTATCTATTTATGTTAAATTCTTAAATTATTTTATTTTATTTTATTTTCTCAAAAAAGTATTTTGCACTATAAGTGGAAAAAATCTAAACCCAAATTGAGGATGATACTGAAACATAATAGGTTGAGTTTGTTCTAAGGGTTTTCCAAATATAAAAATATAGAAAGCATAGTAGCTTAACATCTACTATAATAAATGAAGATTAACTTTGCCACATGACAGTCTCTCATGAGTTTTGACATTTGTCATTTTGTGATATTTTTTAAATAAATAATATCCACATGTCAATTTATGAGTTTTTTAATTTTTAAAATTAAAAAGTCACATAATACTTTTACTTATATATGTAAAGTATTAAATGTAATAAATATGATAGTAAATTGCAATTAACATGCTTCTTCATTCCTTATTTCAAAAATTTATTTTTAAAAAATACTTATTATTTAAATTTTAATATTTAATTTCTTTTAATCAACCCGTATAATATACGGGTCTTACACCTAGTTATTTAATGAACATACAATTAGGCATATCTTAACTTAAGGTCTAAGTGATTTCCAAAGAAAATTTAACCTAATTGTAAATTAATATAATTTTTATAGCTATTCCTAGCTAAACACCAAACTCAAAAGGTGGGTGACCCAAAACCCCCTTTATTCAGTTCTTAGGACACCACACCATGCAGTGAGTATATGTGGACCGCAATGAGGGGTGGTGAATACCTCTATTTTCCACCACACTATAAAACCTCATCGCACAAATCTCTTTCATTTTTTAATATACACTCGTTAATAAAAATGATATATACATACATTATTATTATTATTATTATTATTATTATTAAACTAAAACTTTTTTTATCACAACTAAAATCATTATAATTCATCTCCCTGTTACTTTTAATCATTTTTTTCCAACTACAATGGCTTTAAATGATTTTTCAAACAACACCACACATACTTATCAAAACCAATAGTTGGTTATTAATTCCAACACACCAACTAGAGATATTTTTGGTTTCGAGTCTTCACCACTATCATATTATAATAATATGAGAGCCCTATTTTTTCACCCACTCAGTTTCATTATCCCAAGATGCGACCTTTTTATCTTACACAAGTAATAGAATATATGTTTCCTATTTCCCAACCGAACTTCACGTATCTTCCTGAAACCCAACCCGAACCTAAATTATGCAAATTGAAAAGAATAACAAGAAATTTCCCCCTTGTCAACTTTGTACAACAATCAAATAATCACATTGGTATGTTCTTAAGTCAACATATCAAAGGATGCGGTAGCTACACAATCGACAACCCATTTGTGCAAGTACATTGCAAAGTTTTTTCACAACGAAATGACATGCATAACAACTTATACAATCAACGTCAAATCAGTAAAAGTGACGAAAACATTTTGACTACAACACTCAAGATGCACCGATTGGATGATAAAGGAAGGGGTTCGAAATTATAATAGTTTGGGAGGTTGTCACAAAATGCTCAAAATAGCATACGCTGCAACCGATGGACCGTCCAGGTGGTGCTTCGAAACGATCATTCGAATGCTCGTGTCAGATATAATCTCAACGATGATGATGACAAGCTTGAAATGGAAGTACCTACTCGTCTGATATGTAGGGAAGAAGGCCAAATGAAAGCTTCATCGTGTAGGAGATGCTAATGTGACATGAAAAAAATAAGGTATGAACAAGTATAGTTGTGTTAAAAAAATAAGATAGTTTAAACATACAAAGTTAAATATGATGGTTAATTCGTGTATTTAGACATAATATATTGAGTTTTTCTAAGTTTTTTCCAAGAATATTTCTTAAGGTCTAATAAGAAAAACTTAATTTAATTACCAAATTAATGTAATCTCCATAGTTATTCCCAACTAAACACCAAAACTCAAACCAAACAAAGTACCAGTCTCGGCGACCCAAAATTCCCTTTATTCAATTGTTATGATTTCCGGACAAAAGATCCCTAAAAAACCCCACTCTTTACAGCCGCTTCATTCTTGAACCCTCTCTCGATCTCACTCCCTATCTGGATCTCATTCCATCGCACTCTTTCTTTCGATCGAGCCACTCTCAATCTCGTTGACCTTCCTGCTGCTTTCTTGCGCGTTCTCTCAGTCGGGTCATCTACATTCTCCTCTCCCAAGTCTTCTTCCCCGATCGATTTCAGTAAAACTCTCAAAATCTTACACTTTACTGGTTCTTACTTCATCGTCGGTCATGATCAAGGTTTGTTTTAATCTTATAATCTTTTATCGTTTCTTTATTTGCTAAATTTAGCTTGTTTGCATCCTTTTTGATTCCTGTATAGTATATTAGCGTTAGGATTTTGCTCATTTTAGGATTGATAAGTCGATCTTGATCAACTGCTTGATGTTTTGTAATTGATTAGAGCATTCTCGCATGGTACTTGCTTTGTAACATTTCTTGTTGTCCATAATTCGGTAATTTGGGAGATTTTGTATTGTTTGAATTGTATATAGAACTTAAAATGAGCTTAACCTAACTAATGTTATTAGTTTTGGTTAGTAACTTGTGAGATATTTCTAGGTTTTTATGAATCTATATGATGAATGGATCTGCTTTTTTCTATTCAAGATTCAAATTATGATGAATTGTTCTACCTTCTTCTTGCTTTCAGGTTCAAGTAAATGAAAGGTGATGATATTCCAATTAGCATTAAAGGAGATAACCCAACCCCATCTTTAATCATCACTTTTGTCATTGAAAAGAAAACACAAAGGGGTTAAGATAATAACAAACACACAACACAAAATGTCTGGATTGATTTACCACATATTCACATCATCAACATTACTCTCAATGGGACTTTACCACTTAATCTGCACCACAAGAAATCATCTAAGATCCCCTAGAGATTACTTCACAAAACCATATCATCAAATCACATGGAATTCTCAATCTCAATCTCAACATATCACAAGGTACCTTCAAATCTACCTCTTAATCCTCTGTCTTCTCATCTCCTTCATCCATCAAACCACAATCTCATTCGATTCAGACCCTTTAGTCAAAGGTCGTTCCCCTGTTCATCACTTCACCTCTCTCCAATCCGCAGGTGTTATTTTCCTCTTTCTCATTCTCTCTCTAACTCTACTCATCTCAGAAACCACCTCTCTCCTCCCTTTCCCACCGGATCTCTTCTTTGGAACTGCATCTGCTCTCTTCTTCCTTCAATACTCCACTTCTTCATCTTCAGCCTCCTTACAAATGTCAGATCTTGAAGCAAAATGTGACTCAGTTTCAGCCATGATTTCAGCTATCTCTGCTGTGCTCTGTATCATACTCGCATGCCACCCGAGACTCTTTGTTGCTGACGTGGCACTTGGGGCTTCGATTTGTTTACAGGGGTTATGGTCTTTGCAAACAGGGCTTTCTCTTTATGTGGATGCTTTTATACCAGATGGATGCCATAAGCTTCTTGATGTTGTGAGTGGAGTTGAAGGGTCAACAAAATGTGATCTTGAAGATTCTAAGTTGAGAGCTACTGCGATTCTTGATCTTGTGTTTGTGGTTTATGTGTTGTTTGTGGTTCTGATTTTGATTGTGACTTATGCTGTGACTGCTAAAGTTGTTGGAGTTAGGAGATTTGGGAGTTATGAGGCGATTCCAACATCATCTGGATCTTCTGTTGCTGATCCTAATCATATTCAGATGAAGGCAATGACTGGAACTCAAGCTTGAATCTTGAATCTTGAATCTTGAATCTTGATTCTTGAATCATGAATCTTGAAATCATGAATCTTGAATCTTGAATCTTATATCATGAATCTTGAATCATGAGTCTTGAATCTTGAATCTTGAATTTTGAATCATGAATCTTGAATCATGAATCATGAATCTTGAATCTTGAATTTTGAATCTTGGATCTTGATAGTGTCTTTCTTGATTTATTGTTAGTGGAATTCGGTATTTTTTGACAGGATTTTTAATGGAATTAGTAGTGTATACAAAGAAACGAATGAACTTTTTTTCCCCATGTTGTTGAACTAGCTATTTTGAATGATTATGTTGACTAATTAGTTAATTCAAGAGATTAATTATTAGTTTAGTTAATTCAAGAGATCAACTTATCATTGTCTCTTTTGAATCTCTTGATTACATGTTTTGATTTCTTTTGAGTTTTGATTGTTTATCATCATCAAAAATTGATGATTGTTTGGTAGTGATCAAAAGATCTCAAAGCTTAAATGCAAGTTGATATTTAAAACTTAAATAGAATGATAAAGTGTTTATTTTTATAACTCTCATATAATATAAGAGTTCATTAATTAGTTTTGCATGTGGATGTAGAATTGTTTAGTGCATTGCCTTTGTGCGTTTAGGTCTTGTGGTTGGTTATTTATTTGTTTTGTATTTTGTGTTTTTGGATTCGTTGTAATTACTTTACTTATATTTCCTTGGTTTTTCAGATGTATGTATGTATATATTTATTTATTTATTTTAATTGTAGAATAAAAAATAGGTTATTTTACTTTGTAATGTGAAACAGCATACGTTGGTAGACCCAAAGCCCAACACGACACTCCTAATAGAATGAGCCCATGGTGAACTTATAACAACTCGGTATGACTGTATGTATAGGGGTGACAATTAATGACACGACACGACAAAAATACACGACACGAAACGAAATTGGGATGAAACTGAAATTCGAATTCGTGTTCGTGTCAAGTGTAAAAAACACGATGTCGTGTCGTGTTCATGTTCAAAATTCAACATGAAATTAACACGGTTTAGCATTTATCTATCGTGTTTTTCGTGTTTGTCGTGTTATATATTATTGAGTATTGATTAAATAAAGTAATTGTTATTTTATGTTATCTTTGTCGTGTTTGTCGTTTTTTAATCGGTACGTTTTCGTGTTAGTTTAAAAAAACACAACATCGTGTCTTGTCGTGTTCGTGTTATATAACTTTGTCGTGTCGTGTCGTGTCAGACAAAAACACGACACGATGGCCCGATTTGCCACCCTTAGTATGAAACATGTTTTTTTTTCTCCAGCTGTATGGTTTTTGATTGATAACTAGGGTTTGGACTGTTCATGCGATGATGTAGAAGTCCGGTATGTTGAAAATCGCAGCTCGGCACCATATATACCACAGAGACGATTAAACAGGAGGCGGACGAAAATAAGACTTGAAAGTGTATCTTAAAAAAATTAATAAAAAAAATTATTAAAAATTATGTAAGGGGCCAAAATGTAACTTTAAAATATAATAAGTGACCAAATCGTAATGTATAAAATACTAATAATTTAACTTTAAAATTATGAGGGATGAAAACTGTTAAATAAAAATTAATTAAGGGGAAAAAATATAAATATTAACGTGTAGCACCGTCGTTGCAAAGTTATATATGCACACACAAATTTTCGTTTTATAAAATAATAGAATCCGATAAAAGAAAAAATATGACTAAGTGGAAGTTAATAGTAAAAGTGAAAATTAGAAAATAAAAGAGTTAGAAGAAAATGTAAAAAAGTAACAAAATAAAATATAAGGGCCAGGGGAGGGTAAGTGTCAAACACGTGACTCGGTGATAAGAAAGTGTATGTTGATACACTGCGACAAAGACAATACAATGGACCCCTCTTTGCAACCCACTTTGGCTTTTATTTTTTATTTATTATTTTTTTTTTTTGCATCCCTTTAGATTAGGGAAAATGATGAAAAAAGCACTATACTTTTCCAAAAGTTCGGTTTAACCATCAATTTTTAAAAAGTTACGAAAAAACCATCATTTTTTGATAAAATGTTTCAGCGTGACCACTGTTACCTATAAAAACCTATTTTAAGTATGAAAAAAACAATATATTTTATCAAAAGTTCGGTTTAACCACTCATAAATTGGTGGTTAAACCGAACTTTTAGAAAAATATAGTGCTTTTTTCGTATTTAAAATAGGTTCTATTAGGTAAAAATGGTCGTGCTGAAACATTTTACTAAAAATTGGTGGTTTCTTCGGAACTTATTAAAAATTGATGGTTAAACTAGAAAATGTGACAAAATATAGTGGTTTTTTCGTCATTATCCCTTTAGATTACACTTTGGTTGTTAGTTAAAACTGGTTTTAACATTTTAATATTATTTTTGTTGAAAACAAATGTGAAAGATTGAAGCTGATTTCAAAAAAATAAATAAATAAATTGGTTGTTAGTTAAAACTCAATAAAGTAATTTTTTATTAATTATATTTGAACTCTTTAGATTGAACTTTGGTCTCAGTTGGTTTTAACAAAAATGCGAAATTGTTTTAGCAAATCGTGTTGACGAAATCTTTGTATGCATGCAAATTTTTTGTATAAAAAATTATGGTAGAATAATGATTATACAAAATAAACACCCTTCAAATTAAATCCCATTTATCCAATATTTAGAACACTTGCAAAAAATTTGGGTAGCTGTCATACCCATCCATACAATCCGTAAGTAATTTCTCGCCCTAGTTAGACCTAAGCGAAATGTCACAATTCTAATTTTGAGGATTTAACCAACATCCTGGAGCTTTTCCTCTAAGTAGCGAAAATAAGTTTAAAAAAAAATAAAAATAAATAGAAAAAAGTAAAAGATAAAAATAAGTAGAAATAATATTTAAAGAAAATAGGCAATTTGGATTTAAAAGTAATAAAATAAGAAAGGGATAAATTTGACAAGTTACTCAAACTTGGGGTTGGATTTGAAAATGTTATGGGCCTTCTAGTTAGAAAGTTAGCAATGTGGGGCAAATTAAGAGAGAGTTAATTGAGTACACATGTCATTGTTTTATAGAGGTAGGATGATAATTAGGAAAAAAAATAGAAGGATATTTAAAAGACTAGTCAAATGGTGTTTGAAGTTAAAAACAAGAAACTCGAGGACCACCTAAGAAGGAAGTGTGAGCTCTTTTAGCTAGAGTTCTCCCCAATTAGAGAGAACGATCGAGAATTGAAGAGGGGAAGCTCAAACATGGCGATTTCAAGTTCTAATATTTAGGGCTAAGGTTTAAATATGAATTGAAGATTAAAACCAGGGATCACTCATTGGACATTGGGGGTATAATGAATATACTATAATCTCTTCATTTTTCTCTTTCAATTGCGACATGGGGATTGGCCTCAACACCAAATTCGAATTTCATGAGTCATTGTTGATTATAATTATAAGTTGATTCTAATGCTTGAAGTGTATTCTAGAAGTAAAAAAAAAAAAAATTCTTCCAAAATCGTCAAAACCCACGCTCCAGCAGGCAGCAGTCGCACACGCTGCATGCGACCCCCGATATGTATCACCATCTGGTAAGTTAGTTTTTTTTTTTTCTCTAATTTCCACCAAATTTGTTTATTTGTAAAAATAATTCTGAAAAAATCAAAGTTCTTAAAATTTAATTATCTACAAAATGAACATAATCATAAAAATTTAAAGAACAAAAAAACATATTTTTTACTTTTTAGTTTATGAAAGCACAAAAACACAATCTCCAAATTGTATGAAAGTTTAAGGAATTATTCTATTCATTATATTAGCGACTTTGTAAATTTTTTAAATATTTTTTTTAAGTGTTAATATTCTTATTTTAAGATATATTAGTTTTTATAGAATATAACTGAAATCTTTTTTCGTCTCCAAATTCAGAAAAACAAATGAAATAATTCTTTATATTACTATTTTAGTGAGTTTTTATTAAAAGAATCAAAAATATTGTTGTTAAGGATATGTGCGTTTTGTTTAAAGTAATCCAAGCTTTTATAAAACTAAGTCGTAAAAATTTTCATCCTCCAAATAAGAAATATATTTAAAGATTTGTTATATATCATATATTATGATATGGATTCTGATTATGTTTGTGCCTTAGATTCTCTTCGTGACAAGTTTCCGGACATTGATCTTAGCAGTTTTACTACTAAGGCACCGCCCCCACTAAATCCCAGAATACATCGGCGAGTGCCCTTTTTAGTAAAATTATCCAAGATATGGAAGTGAATTTCAATATGACGGCTCAACAGAAAGCAGTTTTTCAGTGTTTACGTGCACCACATGCTCAAGATTTTCTTCTAGCTATCCCTATAGATGGGCTTGGCCAACATATGTCTCCGGTGGAGTATCGTATCATCCTCAGATATCGACTCATGATTCCCATATTCCCGGCCGATGGGATGTCCGATGTGCCGCAAGGCATGTTTGGACTCTTTCGGCGAGCATGCAATTCATTGCAAAGAACTCTCGGGGTTCAAATACAGACACAATATGGTTAGGGATGTTTTGGTCGACATATGTAAGCGTGTCGGGGTTTCCGCCAAGAAAAAGGCTCCTGTGAATTTCCTGACTGACCCGACAGAAGGAAGGTCAACCCTTAGACCGGCTGACGTTTTGATTTTTGGGTGGGTTGGAGGGAAACACACATGTGTGGACCTTACAGGGGTATCCCCTCTCGTAAGTTTGAGGGTCGGGGGTTTCACGGCGGGACAGGCTGCCCTAAAAGCTGCTACATGCAAGGTCACCAAACATGAGAAACCGTACATGGAAAATCAACACGCGTTCATACCATTTGCATTTGATACGTTTGGTTTCCTTGCGCCGGATGCGGTGGAGCTTCTTAGTAGATACAACGGATCATGCATAGCAATGTTATATCCACTAGATCTATGAATGTAGTCTTCAAAAGAATTGGTTTTACCATACAACAGAGCTTAGCGGCGCAACTTGT